AAGAGGAAATGTCTGTCTGTGCTATAAAATTTGGAGTATTATCCTTGACTTCCAAAATTTGGGAATACTAACCGATTGGTAGGAAGGAATACCAGATCCATTTTTTCCTACATTTTTTAGACCTTATATTTCAAGTCTAAACTGAGGCTAAGAAGGAAGTGAGGAGAGTATCACATGCCAGAATGATTTTCATCCCCAATTGGATCATTTGTACGTGGTAAGACAATATAGTATCACCCTTAGAGACTACCTTGTCAAATTCCTTCTAATTATTATTTTTTAAATTTTATGTGCATAAAAATTCTCTGTCTTCCAAGGTCTTAGAAATAAAATAGAACCAGGGTATTTTTTTAAAAATAGAAAACAAGAAAAACACTTTAATGAGAATATTTTTTTACAGTCTAATTATTATTTTTTATTGGTTGTTCAAAACATTACAAAGCTCTTGACATATCATATTTCATACATTTGATTCAAGTGGGTTATGAACTTCCATTTTTACTCCGTATACAGATTGCAGAATCACATCAGTTACACATCCACGTTTTTACATATTGCCATACTAGTGACTGTTGTATTCTGCTATCTTTCCTATCCTCTACTATTCCCCCTCCCCTCCCCTCCCAGAACCAGGGTATCTTATGAGAGTGTTTCCCTGCGTTGGTCCAAAAAATCATTTGCATCTGTCTCAGACTGTTTGATCTTCCTGCCAGCCTTCCTTCCTCCATATCTATTTATTACTGAGTCTATTGCAGATACTTTGCTGGAATCTAAGGAGAGAGAGATAAAAAGTGTTTGAAGCACCCACAATCCAGATACTTAAATAAATGCAATAAAATATGGTTAACGTCTTGGATTGAGTTTAGCTGTGGAAACAGATAGAATGGACCTATAGCTCAGCAAGATTGGGGAGAGGGAAGATGTCAGGGAGGCTTTATGGAAGTGGTGATGGGGGGCAAAGTTTTGAAGTGGAGGTAGAGTCAAAGGACCTGGAATAGCTAAAAAAAATACTTCAGGGGGCTTTACTTATAAAAATTTGGGCACCTAGGGGACCTCAGAACCTCAAGCAGGGCTCATTGTGCTTGGGATTTGGGATTTGAGGCAGAAACTTTAGGGAAACGCAGAGAACAGGTTGGTAGGGATTAGTTATACCAGGAGAGCCTGCCATCCAATTGCTATGAACCATTTTCCTTTTTGAATTTTAATTTTTTCAAATCTCTAAAGCAATACATATTTATGGTCGGAAAAGAAAAAGTGAAGAGAATTATACCACCCACAATCTTGCCACAAAACTTCTTTTAAGAAGTTGTAAATCCTTCCAGATCTTTATGTACATATTTTTCTTTAATAAAAAAATTGCACATTACTTACTATTTTATAATTTGTTTTTGGTTCAGTTATGATTTTAGAAACATTGTTACCTGTTTATAGATATTCTTTTGAAAGATTTGTAATGTTTTAAAAGAATGTCTTATTTTTTCAGTTATACCATCATTATTAAAACATTCCTATATGTTTATATGGTTGTAAACATATTTGAATATTGGACACTTCAATTGTTTTCAATGTTCTGCTATTTAGAAATAGGTTGTAGATGAGCATTCTTTCTTGCCCATATAGTTAATTATTTATCTGAGTCCTCGTCACTAGGTTTATTGAGTCTCAATCTTAAGATGACAGGCTTATAAAATGAACATACCTGGAAAAATTAGAAAGCAATGGAAGACCGTGCATGACCTTTTTCCTGTGAATCATCCTTGATTGTTGCAAGACCCTTAGTGATGACTTTTCCCATATTCTGCCTCAGTACTGCATCTGATTTTCTCAAACCTACCATCTGCAGATGGAATGAACAACCTCATGAGGAGGTGATGGAGCAGAGTTAATTCTGTTTAACAGACTCGGGCCTCTGAGGGCCAGGGAGGCCATGAGGGATTCCTCAGGAAGCTCAGTCTGGAGAAGGATGCATCATTACCCTCATTAAATGATGGGAGCACAGCATGTTGGAGACTTGGATGTGCAGTTCAGTGTGGCAGGTCAGATGGGGTTGGGATTTCCTGGAGAAGATGCCAGACACAGGAGGACCACCTAGCTGGGCCGCTCTAGAGAACAGACAAATAACAGATGCAATAGAGATTTGGAGTAGAGTTAAGCCAAATAGTACCTAAGATGTTTTCTATGCTGTAAATGTATCCTCTAAAATAATCAACTACTTAATAGGCACTTTGACTTGCATCAGATCAATTAATCCTCATAATCCTTATGGGAAAATAGATGGTATTTGCATTTCCACTGGTTGATGAAAAAACAATGGAGACAACTTCAATCATGGGAGCAGCTCTTCGTGCAGTGCAGTAAGCTACCTCTGAGATAGGATAAGCAACAGAGGTTCACATTGTAACAGATAAAGGAGTTGTGATCTAAACTCCACATTTTATCACTGCATCATATCACTGTTATAGTCTGGATTGCAGAGCAGGTGGGGTTTCCTTTTCCAACAATGTTCATGAAATAAACATTCATGGAGACTCTACTATAGAATCTCTGTGTCAGGAGCTTTTACATAAATTATCTAATTTAATGCTTGAAGCATTCAATGAGAGGCACAGAAAGCTGGGCTTCCCTGTCCAGGTTAAATAATGTGGTCAAAGGCACATAACTAAAACTTGATGGAGCAGGAACTTTAACTGACACCGACGATCACCTGTGCCTTTGTCAGTGGCCCAGGTCATTTATCATTTCATCCACATTTCCTCTGATCCATGTCAAAGTCTTCCAGGTTAGAAGTGTGGTCCGTTATCATGAACAATTCTGTTGCATGATTCCAGCTACCTGTACAACTGAGCCAGACTGTGAAGTTCCTACCTATTCAGTGCTTGCTCTGAAGATGACTGCCTGTTAGAATTTAGGACATGACAGTTCATAGGCCTCAAATTGGGCCAAATTAGGAATGTCCCTTGGTCCTAGGTCCCAAAGGGTGGATTCCTGAGTACCAGTTTGACTATTCCCCTGCTTTTCTATTTACCTATCAAGTGACATCATGGTTTCCTGTCAACAGAGAAGGGAGGGATAGTTTGGGGGTGGCAAGGAAAATAATGAAGGGCAGGTGAAATCATAGAGCTAACAGACAAAAGTCACTATTGCTTCCATTCACATTTCATAGTCTATTTCTTTCTTAGCTTATAGATAGCTGCTATATGGAAAGAATACACTCAGTGAAATGAAATAACAGATGTCACTAAGAAACTAAAAATAAAAATCAGACATAAACAATCTTATTTCATTGAAATGGTTAGCTGAGCTCCTAAGAATGGTGATGAGGCCATTTTTGGATTCCTGCCCTGAAATGAACCAGGAGAAGAATATTTAAGAAAAATGAAGAGGATATTTGGCATACTGAGCAACAGATCTTCTTCTGGCTCAGGGATTGGAATGAAAATTGGCATGATCATGTTGTAGAAGATACAGAATTAAATGGAGAATTAAAATAGAATTTTCAAAGAATATATGTTAGGGGAATAAAAGGCTAATAGTATTTATATTTGTAGGAAAATGGTGGGAGTAAGTCAAGGAATCCAAAGGTGAAGCGAAACTTCAAGTAGAAAGGGAAAAATACCATTTAAGTCTCAATATTTGTAAATAAAAGAAAACAAATGAAAAGATATCAGAAGTCAGCAAGATTTAATGGGAATATAAAGTTGGTTTCATGGAAGCAAAGCCCTTTCACTGGTAGGAAACAGTTACTGAGAGCTGACTTAACGGTAGAGTGCCCGTCTCCTGCCAGCTGTATTTAGCTGTGTTTTTCCTCTTGGCTTATACCTTGTACCCTGGATCTGCAGGAAGCCAGCACTGTCCCAGAGTTGTGGAGGGTGGGCCAAGATTAGAATTTGGATTGTCTTTTAATATATTATGCTGATTCATAGGGAAGAACAAAGATTCTGAGGACACACATTGGAATTTAGCTATGGGAGATGAGTAAGAAATATTAAATTGACTCCAACAACTTGAGTCAGTTTGGAAACTCCCAGTCTCTTAGGATAAAGTATATAATCCTATTTAGAAATTCCTAGTGTGATCACAGATGCGACATTGGTTCTTTTCATGGAACCCATTAATTAAAAAGTCCATAATCCAAAGTCAAGTAAGTAGTAAGACAGTATAACAAATTCTTATTTCATTAGCTTTTCAAAATATGAATAATAACCTGCCGCGTCCCCTCGCCAGCAAAGGAAACACGACACAGGATTCTTCCTTCAGCAGTTTATTCAGGCCTTTATTTTGACATGTCTTCTAGTTTCTACTTCTACTCCTACTGCTACTTCTACTGCTACTCCTACTACTACTCCTACTACTACTCCTACTACTGCTACTACTACTACGTGCCCCAGCCCTAATAAAGCAGATAAAGCCCCAATGCACAACTGCCACGTGGATCTTTCTCATAGGGTGTTTTACAGCTACGTGCCRACTCTCCCAAAATAAGGAGTTGTTTATCACAGGCCACGGCGCTTATCAGCGCCATCTTGTAATGGCGGCCACAGTACACAGAAACGGCTCACTACAATAACCACCAACTTACTCTAATAAACTCATAATAAATTTCCACTGGCTGCTGAAAAACAATGGAAATAACTTTAATCATGGTAGCAGCTCATGGTGGGGTGAGCTACCTCTGAAATAATTTATTGGTTCCAGCTAATTTTTAAAAAAATATTTTTTGGTTGTGGATGGATATAATCCCCTTATTTATTTATTTTTACATGGTGCTGAGAATCGAACCCAGTGCCTCACTACCTCACTACCTCAGTGGTAGAGCGCTGCTAGGCAAGCRCTCTACCACTGAGCCACAACCCCAGACCTGGTTCCAGCTAATTTTTATAGTGTGGGGTTAGTCATTAGGATAGGCTTGATGAGAAACAGATACAACTAGAATTGGGGAAATAACTATGTCCTGCATCTCTCACCATCAGAGAAATTCACCATGATTTTTCTCTTCATAGGCTCATGCCAAAATCTGGCATCTCTACAACACTTCTTTCCGTCCAACTCAGGGAGGCCAAGTCTCCATCGCCCTCAGCTCTCACTGGATCAATCCTCGAAGGATGACAGACCATAACATCAAAGAATGTCAAAAATCCCTTGACTTTGTGCTAGGCTGGTTTGCCAAACCCATATTTATTGATGGTGACTATCCCGAGAGCATGAAGAATAACCTTTCATCTCTTCTGCCTGATTTTACTGAATCTGAGAAAAGGTTCGTCAAGGGAACTGCTGACTTTTTCGCTCTTTCCTTTGGACCCACCTTGAGTTTTCAACTATTGGACCCGCACATGAAGTTCCACCAATTAGAATCTCCCAACCTGAGGCAACTCCTTTCTTGGATTGACCTTGAATATAACCACCCTCAAATATTTATTGTGGAAAATGGCTGGTTTGTCTCAGGGACCACCAAGAGAGATGATGCCAAATACATGTATTACCTCAAAAAGTTCATCATGGAAACCTTAAAAGGTAGGATTTGGGGTAAAAATATTCATTTCTTGTCAAAATCCATGGGGGACACAATCCTTAAGATTATCTGCCATATGCTGTGTTCTATTTTTAGTCATATTGTAGGAATTCATTTTGGCAATAGTAGAAATGCATTTAGGTAGTGCCTTTTCTGTTTGAGGCCTTGAAGAACTTAATTTTTATCTTCTCTCATAAGGGATAAACTGGGTTAATGTTTGAAATTACTTGATTTGCAGTTATTAATTAAGACTTTAAGTATAATAGAAATCTTAGGACATGTAGCTCTCTGTGCGTGTTCTTGAGTTTTTATTACTTTGACCGATTAAACACTTTTTTAAAAAGGGTGTATACATATTATCTGGAAGAAGTAGTAGTTCATGATTTTAAAGACCTTTTTCATTTAGGATCTGAGGTTCAATGCTAGGTGCTTAGGCAGAAAACAGATATTAGCCCTGTAGTGCACCCACTGGGAGTAAGAAACTATCCTGTCTCAGAAATCCAAATAAAAACACATTGGAGATAAGCCTATTTGTGAAGCCATTTATCTGTAGAGTTATCTAGAATCAATGAGAACCTTTTGTCAATAAGAAAAAAAAAATCATTGGTTTGCCAAACTGGGAGCATTCTACTTGGCGTTTCCTTAAGTAGTGAAACCCTCAGATTCTCTCGAACCCTGAGGTGAGTGCCCAGGGAAGGGTCATGCTGCTCTTGTCCTCTCTGCCTTTTGCAGCCATCAGGCTGGATGGGGTCAATGTCATCGGGTACACGGCGTGGTCCCTCATGGATGGTTTCGAGTGGCACAGAGGCTACAGCATCAGACGTGGACTCTTCTATGTCGACTTTCTGAGCCAGGATAAGAAGCTGTTGCCGAAGTCTTCAGCCTTGTTCTACCAAAAGCTGATAGAGAAAAATGGCTTCCCTCCTTTACCTGAAAATCAACCCCTAGAAGGGACATTTCCCTGTGACTTTGCTTGGGGAGTTGTTGACAACTACGTTCAAGTAAGTCAGCTGACAAAACCCATCAGCAGTCTCACCAAGCCCTGTCACTAGTAAGTAGTGCTTCCTTCTCAGGCTCTTGACATGGTGCACTCTCCGCTCTTGGAGCCCAACAGTTCCCAGTGAGCACCTGGAGATCACCATTTGGAATGCTGCACTCTTCTCCCCAAAGATCTTCCAATCTTCATCATATGATTTAAATTAGATCCAAAGGAAAAGAATTTAAACACCTGAGTATTTAAGATTTGATAAGACAATAAAAAAAAAACACGGTCTTTTAGTATTATGGGGTTCTAATCCTTTTTAAAACAGTTGAGCTTTTTCATAAATAAGATATGACATGGAACTCCAGAGTCTCTGAGATCTCAGTGGACCAGCTGAGAATGAGGGTACAGCTCTCCTGAGGCATAAACATGGACCACCCTCACCCCCAGACTTGCAGAAACCCCTCATCAATGCAAACCCTTCTCCAATGACTCACTGATAGAAATGCCCTTTTTAGATATAGTCACTGAAATGATATGGAAATGCTTTAAAATGATCAATCAATATTTATTGAATATCTACTTTGTAGTTAGTTAATCCTCAATGTTCTTTTTTAATTTCCCTAATTTAAAAGGGACTTATTTTCTTGGGTTTGATTGAATACTTCATTAAGTGTGTACAGAGCCTTGTGTGGTGATGGGGTCACTTGATTAGGGGGGATTGTCAGTTTAGTCACTGAAATGAGTAAAATCACCACCCTGTTTTCAAAGGAGTAATGGAGACTATTGAGATTAAGAGATGGGTACACAAACAAGGTAAAGGAGTGAACAGAACTTGAGGGTAAGTGAGCAGGGTGGGATGGTGGGGTACTACCACATAGCCTGAGAATGAAAACTGATCAAGACAGAGACACAGTTCAGTCTCCATTGTTAAGCAGTGAGATTTAGCATGTTGGATTCTTCTAGTCACTTTGTAGCTGCTATAGCTTCAAAAGAAGTATTTGGAAGAATGCTTGGATCTGAGGAAAGGTGTTCTGGTTGCAATGCATTGTTGTTTCTTTGTAAATATTAAATTGAAATATTTATAAGTAAATAAATCAACACTAGCCTTCATATGTTTTTGTTGGTTTAGATTTTTCTTACATTTTTTTTCAGAACATGTAGTATGGTTTAGACGTGGTCTCAGACTCAATTCCTTTCTTCACATTTACTGAGGAATGTTGGTTTGGTGCTTTAGTGTGGAGTTGGAACGTCCCCAAAGGCCCATGGGTTAAAGGCTTGGTTTCCAACTTGGCACTACTGGGAGGTGGGGAAATGTTTAAGAGGTGGGGCCTGGTAGGAGGCCTTTAGGTAATTGGGGATGTGCCCTGGAGGAGAATAGTAGGTCTCCAGCCCTTTCCTCTTTCTCTTTTTTGTATCCTGACCATGAGATAAGCAGTTGGCTTTACCATATGCTCCCCACCACGATATCCTGTCTCACCATAGACCCAAAAGCAAAGCTGTCAATCAATCAAGGACTATAACCACCAAAACTGTGAGCCAAAAGGAAATGTTTCCTCTCCATAAGTTGATTATCCCAGGTACCTGTCATGGTGATGTCTGAGTGCAATAGGAAGAAGGCTTCTTAGCTTCAATTTGCTCAGTGTGGGCTTTCCTTCTTGCTTGTCTCCCTTCTTCCCCAGTCCAGAGCTATTTGGAACCTTCTTTCTCTCTCCATGTGGGACACAAAATGGAGCTTAAGCAGTCTCTGAGGTGGCAGAGTTGGGGCTGATAAGGAAGGAGGAGGGACAGGGACAGAGAAAGGGAAGAAGATAGGTCCTTCAGTCTCTCCTTCCTCCTGCCCTTTATTGGGGATGGGGTGAATTAGATGGTGCTTGGTCTTTATTCTGTATCTTGACTTCTCACTCACTCTCTGAAGGCATTGAGCACTGTCACTGAAGGGCTCATGTTCTCCCTGATTTCTGATAGCAGCCCAAGTCTGGCAGGTAACTCCCAATTTGGTCCTTTGTGTGTGGAGAAGTCTCATAGCCAGCATCTTCCGTAGGGAAGTGGAGGCTGTTGAAAACCATTTTACTCCTTCCCCATTTCCATGCAAAGCCTGCATCTTATTTCCTTGAGAGAGAAGAGAAACTCTGATCAGAAGCAAAAAAGTATGGCAGCAAATAGGAAAATGGGGAGAGAAGTTCCTTTTTTATAGAATCTTAATCTTACTAAGTCCCAAGTTTTCAATTCTGTGAATATTTCAAAGAAATCAACACGGGTACATTAAAATAGGTTGAAATAGGTTGGAAACCGCTGGGTGCCATGGCACATGCCTGTAATCCCAGCAGCTTGGGAGGCTGAGGCAAGAGGATTGCAAGTTCAAACCAGCATCAACAATTTAGGGAGACCCTGTGTCTAAATAAAATACCATATGGGCTGGGGATGTGGCTCAATAGTTAAGCCCCCCTAGGTTCAATCCCTGGTACCAAAAAAAAAAATAGTTTGGAAACCATAACCTGGAGCCCATATATATGACACATTTTATATATGTATATAATATTAATATTTATTATAAGTATTATATATTACATAATATAAGTTTTTATAGATGTTCTACACCTAGGATGATGGGACAAAATGGGTTAATCCTGGGTGAGCCACTCACTGGTCTCAACCTCTCTGAGGATGCACTTTTAGCTTATCAGGCCCAAACCCATAATTGACTCTCAAAGCCATGGTGGATGCCAACTCCCTGGAAGCTCTCTGTGGGAACAGGCTGCAGCTGCGTTTTCTTCTTTCTGGTTTGCAGTTTGGGCTTGGCCTCATATTAGCAACTCCAGGCTAATGCCTGATTGGCATAGTAAAAGGAGGTCCTCTGACCCATCTGTTCCAAGGTGTGAGAGCATTTTCATTGACAAGCAGTGTTCTAACTTAACACGTTGACGTCCTGAGAAGTTGATGTCTAAGCCATCCAAATTCATCTTTCCCTTCCTGGCTAGTGTTTCAAACACTTAATATTTGGGGCTTGTGTTTCACTTTAATAAGTTGAAAAATAATATCCCATTGACCGTGACCTGTCTGAAGTCTGATGTTGGCTMATTCATAGGCATTGCCATTTCACTTGGACCCAACTTCTAGCTGGCAGGCTTGTTTTCCCATAACCACAAAGGCTCCTAGGTAACAGAAATAAAGAATGTGCTACATACTGAGGACATGGAGCTTCTTTGACTTCAGTCCCTGTTAGGAGAAAGTTTCTTCCATAACATACTAGATACATACTTTATACCAATTCCTTCTCAAAGGTCTAATTTTATTATTTCATTTTTAAGCAAAAACGAAGTCAACAAATTAACAGCAGTTAGAAGAAATTTTACCTAAACACTCATTTCTAAATGCTGCATATTTTAAAAAAATATGATCCCAACCCCCCACCCATGCAAAATAATCATATCTTGGTCTTTCATGTTTGTTTTCAGATGGAGTGAATCAAAGCTGTTGCTTTGGATGATTCTGGCAGAAAAGTTATGAATTTAGTCATCTCAAAGCTCTATAAAAATAATGCAAAAAATTCCTTCAAGTTCTGAACACTTTTTCTTCAAAATAACATGCAAATATTTTCTCTTGTGAAGCTAAGGAAACACAATTTGTGGATATACGGATGTGGAAAATGACTTCTTACAGCATTCCCACAGCACTAGGGGAAGTGCATGCGTGGGTGATCCACAAGGGACAATTCTCCAGAAAATCAATTTCCTCTGACACCCTGCTTTTTATTACTTTCCCTTACAAACACAGCACTCACCCCTCCAGAGAACCAGCAAAGAATTGTGCGTTTATGACAGGACTGTAAAATTCACAACACCTCTGCTAGAGCTTCAAAACCAGGGTTTATCTGATCTTTGCTTTTATGGCAGGGTCAGGCCAAGACACCTGTTCTAAAAGGATTATTTCAGAGGAGAAACTGGCTTAGGTTGCAGGTCTCTCAGATGGACTTTTCAGTTTTTGTGTAAGCTGTGGAGGGAGGATTTCATGATTTTTTTGCTTTCACAATTTGTCCACTTTTCCTAAGCACCTGTTTCTATTTTGGAAGCTTATATGTCATATGTTTGAGAACCCTATAATTAATATTAATACAGAAAAAAATATTTTAGAAAACTAAAGAAAAACTTCATTTAAAAGAAATCCCTCTCTGGGTGGATGACATTATTGTTCCTTATTTCCACATTCTCTCTCAGGCTTTATACCAATAGATTGAATTTGTTAAATTCTATCACTGACCCTAAACTCCATGAAAGACAACAGTTATGCTTATTTAGCACCCCAGGGAAAACCTAAATGTAGGACATAATTTTAAGAAGCACAATTTAATTATAAATACGATTTCATTTTCTAGCTTTAACTCATGCAGCTTTTAAGCTTTTACATTTTGCCTATTTATTTTTAAATTTGAATACCTCATGCCATTAGTGATTTCTTACACTAAAACATCCAACAATACCCTTCTTGCACAACACAGACTGCCTGCCTGCAAAAATTATTTGTTTTTGTTAACTGAAGTGACCAAAATCAGATAGTTTTTAAAAAACACTAATCTTAAGTGTAAAGTTTAGCAAGAACTGTGAGTAATGTAAAGTACTTTTTTTAAAAAGTGGAATCTTTGCTGGGGTTGTGGCTCAGTGGCAGAGTGCTTGCCTAGCATGTGTGAGGCACTGGGTTCGGTTCTCAACACTGCAAATAAATAAATAAAATAAGGTTCCATTGACAACTAAAAAATATTTTTTAAAAAGTGGAATCTTTGCTGGGGTTGTGGCTCAGTGGCAGAGTGCTTGCCTAGCATGTGTGAGGCACTGGGTTCGGTTCTCAACACTGCAAATAAATAAATAAAATAAGGTTCCATTGACAACTAAAAAATATTTTTTAAAAAGTGGAATCTTTGCTGGGGTTGTGGCTCAGTGGCAGAGTGCTTGCCTAGCATGTGTGAGGCACTGGGTTCGGTTCTCAACACTGCAAATAAATAAATAAAATAAGGTTCCATTG